ACAAAGTGTTTTTGGGCAGTCCTGATCAAGCCATTTTAATAATTTTCCTGTGGGAGTCTGGGCTACAAGACAGTACCGGGATAAAGCTACAAATGCTTATGATCGGTGGCATACCGTAACCCCCTAACGCAATGGGGAGAAAGCTTTCCTGGGGGCAGGAGGTCTGTTCAGGTACGTTCTACCTGTTCTTCCAAGGCACGGCTCTGGCCTAAGCTAGTCAGGCAACGCAGCTTTGGCTGTGAAACCAAAAGCTTAGGGGCACGAGCCAGAACAGCGGCTCTGCATTCGGGGACCGGGTGTGAGTCTCGGTTGGAGCCAAGGGCACCACTGGGATTTCTCCTCTGACAACCCCTCGCAAGATGCTCAAGCGTCCCATGAGGCCGTTGAGCACAAAGCTTGGTGGAACGCAAGAGGCTACAGGGAAGGCTGGTGAGGACAGGGAAGCCAGAGGGTTTGGAAGCACTGACTCAGCCCTTTTCTAGAAACCACGTGCTGTAACACAAGAGTCATCCATCGCTGACGAAACCACAGAACTGTTCAGACAGCGACCCTCGCAGCACCTCCTCGCTAACCACGACTGAGTTGTCGGGCAGCTGCAAGAACACCACAAAGGCAGCTCTTTGCCAACAGCAAGGAGACAGAAAACAGCTCAACTCGGTTCCGAGCTGAAAGTCTGCACGTTGCAAAGCAGGGGTGTTCGGTACCATTTCAGTGAACCACACTCTTGCTTAGCCGGCCTCAGTAGCCCACGAAAACCAGAGTCCCAGATTCTCAGTTTAACAGTTTAGGGAATGAAACGTAAAGACAACGCTCAGCCACTCTGGTCCCAAAACCGCAGATGCGACACGCAGTGATGCAAAGACGCATAGGCAGCCAGGACAAGCCCAGACAGCAGCCGTAGCACAGAAACCCAAGATGCTCACAGCTGCTCCCATCCCAGGTCCTGCCAGGACGCTTGGAGCAACTGCAAGGAGGACATGCTGAGGCAAGGTTTAGGAGAGTATTACCTTTTGATTCTGCGTCCTGTGAAGGGGTGCTGGCTTCTCGCTGTTCTCCGGAGTCCACCGAGATGCTTCGTTCCCGTTTCACCTTGCCCTTCAAGGAGCTGAAGTTTGGGACAGTGTTCTGGCTGTTTTTCAGTCCAGAGTTGCCAGGGGAGATCTGAGTGGCCTTGCTGCCATGGCTGCCCGCCCCCACACCCTTAGAGCCCAGGTTGCAGGTGGGTGCTTGGCTCACGTTGTGGTGCTGGGCCGGGGCACCGCTGCTGCCTGCCTTGCCATGGCTGGGCAGTTTGTTGTCAGGGTGCATTGGATTGGCTAAAGCTTCCCACAGCGCCAGTGGAGGGACCTCCCAGGCCCTTCGGTCAGAAACCTGCAAGAGAAGAGGGTGGCGAGTGAGCGCAGTGCCCCTCGCGTGCGCGCAGCTGACAGGGGCACTGCCCAGGGCCGGGGCACTGGGGCTGCTGCTTGGTCGCAGGGCCAGACAAAGCCTGTGGCAAGGCACAGCCCAGAGCCGCTTGTGCCAGGAATTAGCCCTGACCCCTTTGAGCAAAGGATCCTCCTCCGCAGTTAGCTGCGTGCAGATAAGCAGCAAACTCCCACCCAGGCACGGCAGACTTGCCAGCTCTCCAAGGCACAGGCACAGACACGACAGCCCTCGTTTCCGAGGCCACGATGAGAACGGGGTGCTGCATGCCAGCCTGGCCCTTCGGTGAGCTGAAGGATCCTTAGGGCTATTTTGCAGGTATTCCCAGAGCTCAGACAACTTCGTGACCCTGAACACAAATCTGTTGCCCCACTGGTTTCAGGGACCCCTTCTGCTGCTAAATCAGTTTCCTCTGCTCTGCAAAACACACAGGAGACAACTGAGCAGACAGAAAATGGTCTTGATGCAAGCCGATAAAGAGAAAGCTGCGACGGGGCAGGGAAGGACTAAGAGGAGAAGGAGGCGGTGGGTTGCAAGGCAAGGGCAGAGCTGGGAGTGGGGGCACTCGTCAGCTAAGCGGTATCCCTGTCTCTCCCAGGGGCCTGAGGGACCATTCACAGCTCCTACTCCAAGGCTCTGGGTGGGGGACCGTCCACTTCAGCAGCAGCTTCCAGCCCAGCAGGATGATGCAACGTGCCACGGGCCTGCCAGGATAGCAGGGTGAGGCTCTCCTGCTCCAGACCCAGCCCAGCTTTCTGAATAGCCCCACAGGCTGAGGCAGAGCATTTCAGGGGAGAGGCGGTTAGAGCAGAGCGCGCAGGCTTCTGGGCTGGAGGACGTGCATGCAGCTGAGCAATGCTGCAGCAGCCCTCCTTGCAGATCTATTTGCCTTGGCAGAGTCTCTTAGGCTTGTGCTGGGATTCTTCCCCTCAGAGCTCTGCACGGGCATTACAGATGACTGGGATGTGGCTCCACAGTACCTGAGCACATCACATGTTCTGGAGGGCTGCTACTAACCTTCAGTTCAACAGACAACCCTAGTATCTGCAGGGTGCATCCTTCCTGGCCTATGAGTACCTCCTACTTGCAGCCAGTAGCCTTCTTCAACATGGCACAGGCAGTGTGGGACATCAGCCAGCCTCACCTCAGGGGCTACTGGAGCGGGCAGAGGATGTCCCTGACCTTCTTACGCACCGACTCTTCCCGGCCTGAACTGCGTTCGCCGCTAAGCTCTCCGAGACAGTCTCAGCGCAGAAAGATGCACGTCCCCGTGAGAACTGCTCCTCGCTTTCTTCATCTAGAGGACGTAACTCTTCCGGCACGGGGGCCCCACGTTCCTCTGCTACAGCCTCCTCACTACCACAGCCAGTGACCCCAAAGCTGCAGACACCCCCACTGCCTGTCACAGTCTTCTCTACTTCTCAGGGAGCAGGGGGAGAGTAAACCATGTGTTCGTGGAAGTTGAGGTATTACTCTCTGTTTGCTTACATCTGCTATGTGCTTTGCATGACACCCCCACGACACACTCAAGAACCTTTCCTGTGCACAGGCAGAGAAATTTCCCAGCACACGGGGGTTACTGGGCCCGTGGTCTGCTCCTCCCATCCGGACCGAGCAGGCCAGATGCTGTGCACAGATTCCTTCTGCCACCCAGGGACAGGAAGCACCAGCTCCAGACCAAACCCCACATCTCTGAATAGCGCCGCAAGAGCTCAGCAGCACTACACACGCTGCTCCTGGCTTGCCGAAGGCGGGCCTGAAGACATATCGTCGGCGAAAGCCAAGCACTCGCCCTGCTAGGGCAAAACACCATACCCAGAACAGCACGCAAGCGAAGAGCAAAGCACACTGGGCAGACCCGTAATCCCTGAAAGATGGCGATCGCCACAAGGTGCGGGCTGCAGCTTGCCATCCACCGCCAGCAAGTTCCCTGCCTGCAAAAGGGACTTCTCGGCACCTGCCTCCCTGCGAGGCAAGGCTGAGCCGGTGGCTGGCTGGCACACCGCGGCGGCCGACCAAGAGCAGCCTGCACAAACAGCGCTACACAGCCCGCCCAGGCATTCCTAGTTAGTTAGGGGATCCTTCGTGCACAGCTTGGCCTATCACCGCTTCCTAACTAGCGAGTCGTTAGTTGCTCCCTCCTCCTCCGCCTCCTCCCCACGCACCTCGACAAGGGCTCTGCTCTAGCCTGGAGGAAGACGGTGAGCCACAGCACCGATTAATTTTCACAGCACATAAGGGAGTTGCTAGCCCTTTAAGTGTCAGCCAGTCTCGCTCGCTCGCTCTTGTTCTCCGGGGACCTATTAATAGCAGCTGGAAAGATCACATCACTCTCTGGATATTTATACCCCTCATTCCACACCAGGAGAGATTTATGTCAGAGCTGCCGTCCCAGTGCCTGCCCAATTGCTCTGTCAAACCACTCACAGGGGGAGGGGAGCAGAGCGGGGAAAGAGACATGGAGAGGGCAAGCGGGGAGGAGGAGAAGGTCCATATGGCACAAGCTGCAGCGTTAAGCACACACGCTGCCTGCAGCCACTGGCTGGCCAGCCACAGGGAGCCTTCAGCCCCACTGGAAAAGGCTGCTGCTAGACAGCATTCCAGAAAGCAAGCCCTGCAGCAGCTCCCGCTGCTGGTGGCCCAGAGCCCCCGCCTGCTGTGCCGCACTCGGCAATCTTTGCAACACATTGCACCGCAGTCCTGAGGGTCACAAACTGACTGATACCAGGGTGCGGCTAGATCAGCCAAGGAGATGCTACCACCACCATCTATATCAACAATAGGCTGGGAGATGCAGGTTTGCCTGTGGCACATCTGTATGAACACAATATTGCATTCAAAATAGATCCCAAAGTGCTTCACATGTGAATGCTCAGCAGCATTGCAGCACAACCCCAGTACAGCATAGCATGGGCATGTGAGTACCCTGGGGAGGGAGGAAGAAAACCGGGCCCCGCTAAGACCACGCCTGCAGAGTCCAGAGACTAATGCTCGAGATGCACCTCCTATCCCTCTAGTTCTCAGGTCAGGTCGCAGGGAACACACGCATTGATCCCGAAGGCCCCCCCCCCCGCCACAACAAAACCTTCAGACACTCATGTCTGCAGCGTGCATGAGCCTCACTGGCTGTGAGGTCCCTCCAGAACATTACATTTTTGGGGCACCTATCTTCTTTTCTTCCTTCATGTTGGGAGTCGGCTGGTGCTCCAGGGGGGACATCCAATGCCTTGCCTCAGCCAGTCGCAGGATGAAAAGCCACCCTGGGCTGTCGGGGGACCCTGGCTCAACCTTGGGAAGCCCTCCTCTTCCAGCCTTGACTGAGACTGACCGCACTCCCCTCGCAAATCCTAATGGGAGCAAGGCCAGAAGCAGCTGCCTGCGGATTCTGCTCTGCTTTCGGGAGTAGCAACAGTTGGATCCTGTTGCAGATGCATAGCGGGGATCCACCCTGGCCTCCCATCTGTCTGGTTGCAGTATGCCGATAGGCATCTCGATTGCTGTAAGCTCCTTGCACACGCCCCTAGATTCAAACTAGATTCTAGCAGGCATGCCACACATCTGGGCCACAGAAGAGAATTAATTGGAAAGTAGATGCACTGACATGGGGAGACAAACGATCCAAAACATCTTGAAAAGAACATGACAAAAAGGAGACTGCATAGAAATCTGGCTCCCTCTGCTATTTAGCAACACACCCGCTCCAGCCCAGCAGTTTTAAAGACAATAGCAAACTTAATTCCCAGTGGTTATTCCCAGACTCCTGGCTTCTACCCCCAGCTGCCACCGATTCCACGAATGACCCTGAGCAAGATGTACTCTTTCTGGGTGCCTCAATTCCTCCGTCATTAAACAGGGGGACAACCCAGCCTACCTCATGCAGGGAGGGAGGCTTACAAGGCACAATAAATATCTCTGTTGAACGAAGTGCTACATCTAAATGCAGAGGGAAAGTATTTGTGCCTGGTACATCTGAAAAGCCACAGCTTTAAATCAAAGTCTGGGACCTTCGCAGACAAGAAACCTCAGAACAAAACAACAAAACCTGCTTTCAGTAAATCTCCTCCAGTACGGTCTGAACAGCAGCAGAGGGGGAGGAGGAAGCTCCGGGTGAGGAGAGACTGGGCTGACATATTCCCAATCCCGGAATTGCTAGCTGATAGTTCAAGAAACCTGAAACCCCACTGCGTTCCCGCAGGACTTTCTGGTGAATCATGCTCCCGCTCGCTCCGAAGGACAACACAGATTCCCAACACTGCCGCAAGAATGCGGAGCCCGCGCCCGCCTCCTGACGGGGCAGGAAAGCCTCCCGGCCGCCAGCCTGCCTGTCCTGCAGCTTCCACGTCTCAATGCTGGCTGACATTGCTGCCATGCTATCCCTATCGGGAGAAAGGGCGAGAGAGGAAGCTGGGAAACCAGAGTCACGACGATTCAAAAAGGAAGGAGCTTTGCCGCACCTCCCTCCTATCAGATGCTGGGGAGAGCTCTTGCGAAACCCAGATGACTACTGACTTGTGCATACACAGCAAAGACCATAACCCAGGCCTCCTGAGCTGTGTTGACGTGCCCCGCAGCTCATGAACACCCAACGTACCAGACGAGACAGGTCATGACAGAGTGATGCAACGAGCAGAAAGTCACCCAGCCACACTCCGCCAGCCAGTCCAGGAAGTATCAAGACCAGGTTGCCATTGCAAACACCTTCTAAGCACATCGCCTATGCTGATAACCATCTGCCCGCTCACTACAAGCAGCAATCCTGGGACGAGCCCAATCTAAAATGTCCCGTGGACACCACCACAAACTCAAGCGGAACGCCTCGGCTTTGGAAATGAGAGGTCCTAAGCAAGCTCAAGGGCTTCTTGAAGAAAGGCATTAGGCAGAGAACAGCAAAAGGAGAGACCCCAAAGACCCTCCTGAAATACCTCTCACCCC